GGAGGAGTAAAAATCTTCTAGCCCGACCCTTTAAGGAGCAATGATTCAAGGCCGTCCTGGCCGAGGCCAGTTCAGCCTTTCCTCGTCCCACCATGAGCGGCAAGACGCCCACGGCCCGGATTCCGTGGGTGTGACGGATTCCATGCCTAGCGCTTCGCCACTCAAAAGGACGATGAGACCGCCGACATGGCCTACCGCCTAAAAAAATCTCCCCCTTCTCCTGACTGCATCCTCTTGCCCTGACAAGGGACTCCCGGTACGCAGATATGCATCTTCGGGGGCCCCTCGGACTGTGGGTCCTTGACCCTCCTCTCGATCCGAACTTACCCTCTCGACGCCATCATCCACGTTACAAGTGTGGGTCTCCATGCTTCCCATCTTACTCTCAAGAAGCCGCGCGCACTTCAGGGGGCGGGGCCCCTTTTTTATACATGCGCATCACTAATTAGATGACGAGGCATTTGGCTATTTTCTGCGCAACTGAGCAGTCGCGGACTTTCTACTCTTTTGTCCGGCGTGATCACCAGAAACAACAGAGATCTGGCTAGCGGAGCGCCGGCAAGTTTGGCTGTTGGCGCTCTTTGTTTGCACGGACTCCCAACAGTAAATATATATACATCTCACAATCCTTTATCTTGCTCTTAGTACTATTTAGACTTCCGATCCGACCGCGCCGCAGCACGGCGAAACCAGCCTGACTGACTCCACCAGGGAACTCTTGTCGTGGGCAGGAAAAATTAGAGATATCAGAGTCCTCGAACTTTGAGGAAGCGGGTATTGGCCAAATGTTGCCTCGCGGCACCGTTTGTTTCCAGGGAAAACCACGTGGAGGTTCCCGCCCAGAGCAGCACTCGGTCCGTGTCGAGTGTGCCCTCGCTCTGCCGCCGTGGCCCGTTAATGCAAGTACAGGCCTTACGACTCGCACTCCCAGCCATATAATTGGGACGTATACTTCAACATTTATAACGACCACATTTAAAACCATTCATTCTTTGTCATGTGATAAAATGTGCCCGAGCCGGGGTGGGTGTATAAAGCCCACTCCGCTCGAAGCAACTTAGTCAGTATTTTAAAAAGCCCCACCACCCAGACAAACGAGTGTAAATGGCCCATCTGCCTAGGGCAGCGGTGCGTAATAAATTAAATAAATAAATAAATAAATAACTTAAATAAATAACACATATCTACGACTCACCGTAGTGCGTCAATTGGCTGAGAGGCTCTTGGATCGGAAGTTTTATCCGGCGGAGCTGAGGGTCTCTACCGGTGTGCGGGGGGCATCGTAATCCATGAACATATGATATTGTTCGATGGTATTACGTAGCGCTATCAATGATATCGTGACTAGCGTCTTGCGGTCTGTTATATTTAGTTTCGCTAAGTTTCTGACCGTCTCCTTGGGCATAGTCCCCCGCGTTCCTACCACAATTGGTAGGACTTCTGCGGCGCTCGCTCCTAGATCGCGCCGCAGGAGAGGCAGCAGTCTGCTATATTTATTGATCTTATCTTTGTGTCCCTGAGCAAGGTAATCATTATCTTCGTGGCGGACTGTGACATCGACCACTTGGACCCCTTTCCAGCTCTGTATCATCAGATCGGGTTTGAGATTCTCGCACGAGGTTTGGTACGTGGTTTCCCTCGTTACTGCTGCCTCCTTGTCTCTGCTTACGACTCTATTTATAACGACATCTAGGATTTCATTATGACGGCGGATGGTGTGTTCCTTCATAATAGTGCACTGCCCCAGTATGTGCCCCAGCGTTTCTGGCTGGCTCTTGAATTTCCTGCATCTTACATCCGCCACCGGGCCAGCTTTATTCATTGTTATCTGTTTGCGGTGGTGTTGGTGCGCATTCTAAGGGCCGTTGTGAATCTTCCAGGCTTTAGGAGCGTTGGTTTGTAAAGCCAGGCGTTTCCAAACTTATCGTCGGCGAGAGACTGAACCGACTTTCCTTGCGTCACCAGAACTGCCCACGATGCGAGCTCCGTCTTCTTGGCCGCTATTTTATAGCGCCTTATCCCCTTCAGGCTCAAGGGCCAATTTATCCTGGCTGAGGCCGACAGGCTCTTGAGACGGTTCACCATGCCTGTCTCCTCTGCCAGAGCTTGCATCACCGGATCCGAAGACTCCGAGAATTTCAGTCCTGCCCTAAGACTGGAACTCACCACCAAAGTTTTCAGCTTAGGGAATCCTAGTCCCCCGTCTCTCTTGCCGCAGTATATTAATCTGTTCGTTGTGGACTGCGACAAGTGGTAAATATCTTTGGTCACTACCCATAGCTCCCGGTCGAGTTGTCTAAGATAGATTACTGGCGGTACTGCCAGTACCAACTGATACAGGTAGTGTGGGACTAGGTAAGTGAAGATTAGATTTACCTTTTGGTATGATTTCAGCGCCAGCTTTGTTATTCTGTTAATCGCTGAGCAGAAGTTCTCTCTTAGGCTCTTGATGTCTGTTTCAGCCCAAGAAGATATTTTAATACCAAGGTATTTTAGCGAAGTACTCGTATCCGCGTACGGGATACTTTCTCCACTTAAAAGTGTCAGCCGGGGATCCGCCAGGTCCTAGAAGTCTTTAGTTGTGTTTATGCGAAAGGCTGCACATTTTGCCGCCGATATTTTCATGCCTAGTCCATTCAAGTAGCCTTCCGCAGAACCCAGCAGATCACTGGCTTGTGGTATCGTTTTTGCTGTTAGAATGATGTCGTCAGCAAAGGCCATTGAAACGCCTTCTTCGTTTCCAATTTGATATCCCGGCTAACTCTCCAGCGCTTTGAACATAGGCTCCATCACAAAGTTGAAAATTGACGGAGATAAGGAGTCCTCCTGCTTGACCCCGCGCAGGAGTTTTATCTCTATACAGTCATTCTTGTTCTTAATAACTGTTCGCACATCCTCATAGGAATCTACCACAAGCCGCACCACAAACTCGGGTAGTCCCTTCTTCCGTAACGCAACTCCTATGGCCTCATGCGGTACTGTGTCAAAGACTTTGGAGACGTCCAATTGCGCTACGACCAGGCCTTCTGATACTTTGGAATGCCTAAGCAATTCTCTGAAGATGTGGACATTGTTGAAGCAACCGGCTTCAGACGTGAACCCTTTCTGTCTGAGTGTCATTGTAATTACACTTCTCAGTTTCTGATCAACATCCCCCAGTATAATCGTGACAGAATTGAACTGATAGTGATAGGTCTGTAGTTCGTTACTTTGCTCTTATTCTGCCCATCTTTGAGTAAGAGTGTTGTTCTATTTATTCTTCAGGCTGCTGATTGGTATGCACGGACCATAATTATATTATACCAAAGCCGGAGGACTTCTATGTCTGCCGGGCGACTCACATCCTTCTTTATGAGTCCGTCCGGACCCGGCGCCACATTGGCCTTTATCCGGGCAAGCTGTGTCTTCACTTCCTTTGCCGAGATTGGGGTCAGCACGACGTCTAAAGCTGTTTCCGGCTCGGCCTCCCCAAGCTCAGGTAGCTTTATATGGAGCTTAGTTCCCCATAGCGAGTTGTACAGATCTCTAATTTCAGCCGTATTCAGGTCCGCTTTGGGTTCTTCGACCCAGCTAGTACCTTCTCTCGCATGTTTGGTTAGAAGGCCTGGATTTTCTCTGTACAACTCTTGAGTCTTGGCATATATGTATTCCTCTTTGCTCCTGTTTTTGCGCTTGCTTTTTTTGTTCTTTGCGCTGCGGGTCTCGTTATTTGTTCTTAGCGCACTGCACACCTCATCGTGCACCTTCTTCAGTGTCCCTTCTGATGGCACTTCTCCACGATTTTCTATTATTTCTTCCAGAACTCCTTTAAGCAGCTGGACGCAAGCTGCTGCCCCGGGTTGAATAGCGTTAGTGGTCTCCGCGTTCAGCACCATTCTTGCTATTCCCTCTCTCCATGCGGATACTGGTAGAGAGTCCGGGGGCTTACTGCCAGACACCGCCGTGTCGGTGTCCATACGGGTCTCTACCGCATCGAGATGTGGCGGAACCCCGGGGGAGACAGGCAACTCGTCCACCTCTACGGGCACATCTATTCCTTCCTCCTTTCCTTCTTCCGCTTCGGGATGTAGTGAAACTCCGGGAGAGATCGGCAAGCCTCCCACCTCCTCGGGCACATCTCATCTTTCCTCTGCCTCTTCTTCCGCTTCGTCCTTCTCATCACGTTTCTCAGCCAAGATCTCCGCCATCCTTCTTTTGTATACCGGCGTCGTTCTTTTGTCTTTTATTTGCTTGGCTGTCTTCCCTGGCAGGTGTTCCATCATCCGTTGTGCTATTTTCCTTTCTCCCTTGTACCTGATTTCTAGCTCCAGCATCCGATTTTCCTCCTCTTCGGAGAAAACTTTGTGTTTTTGAGGAGGTGCTTTCCTTTCCTTCGCTGTCCCGCCTGCCCGGGCTGCGTTCCTCACCTCCGGATGGTGCCTTTCGTGCTGCGAGAGTCCCTTTTTTGTTGGGTATACCTTACCGCACACTCCGCAGGTGTGCACTTCACCTGTAGCCGGAGCCTTGACAGGGGATGGTGCTAGGGTACTTCGGCACATGGCATAATGCCGGGTGTTTGTTCAAGTACCTTTTACCACATTTTCCACATATAAACACCACCCTCATGTCCGCATGGCGCTCAGCCGCGTGCCCAATCTCATAATTCAGAATAGGGATGTTCGATTCACCCAAAAAAATCGATTTTTGAATCGATCTTAAATCGGTTCCTCGAGAATCGATTCACCTAAAAAATCGACTCCGAAGAATCGATCTAGTATGAATCGGGCTAAAAAATCGCAAAAAATTATTTTTATATAATTAAATATATACATAAATACATAAATACATACATAAATTGAATTAATTATTAAATTTTAATTAGTTTGAAATTTTTAATTTTTTAAACTTTAATTAATAAATAAATAGGTAATTAACAATTAATTTTTAAATTTTTGCAAAATTTTATATTAAAATTAGTATTCATATACAAAGTTGTTGTTTTGTTGTTATTATAAAATTACTTATTCATTTTTTAATTGCCAATCTGTAATAGACAGTGAATTTAAAAATAACAATTCTTGTAGATGATCGGGCAAAAGTCGATTCCTGGAATCGGTTAAAATATTGCCAGCTCTTGAAAATAATCTCTCAGAAGGCACTGACGTTCCAACAATTGCCAAGTATTTTTTGGCAATAACGCTGAGAGTCGGATATACTGATGCGAAGTTTATCCAATAACTCATTGGATTTTCATTACGATCTATCATTGTTCGATTCAAGTAGTGTTTCAAGTCAGTTGGTATCTCATCTTGCTGCTGTTGCGCAGTATTTACAGTCCTACTTTTGAGAAGATCATCATGAAAAGACCATAGGTCGTAAGTTTTGTCCGATATTTCCATGTTCGTTTCGGCAATTACATCATTATTAGACACATTCGTCCGATTTAATTCTCTCATCCATCCAGCAATACGACTGATTATATGCGAACATGCCAAAGATTGATTAAAATGCAATTTTTTAAATCTAGGATCCAGAATCGTCGAAGCAGCCATAATAGAATTGTTTTCTATTTGTCCAAATTTCGTCACAATAGAGTTTTGAAAACGATCAACTAAAGAAAGTGCAGTTTGTGTTTTTAAACTCTTGCAAAGTTGTTCGTTTTTATTTTTCAAGCAATTGATTAATGGAATAATTTTGCTAGCCGTGACAAATCGTTCTCCACATAATTCCCTTGTAAGTTTTTCAAGTGGTTGCAGTACTTCTATAATTTCATTTGCCAATAGCAGTTCAGATGCAGTCAACATTTCAGGTGAATCCGGGATAGTTAATAAAATCGATCCAATTTCTTTTGAGAGCGAACTAAATCGTTGTAACATCGCAAAAGTTGAATTCTATCGTGTGTCAACGCTTTGGATTAACTTAAGGTGGGTAAGCTTTCACAACGCATCAGCAGCAATAGTAGACTGTTTAAAATAGGTGACGATTTTTTTAACCTTTGCGCACAATGATATTGCAGTTTCAAAGTTCATTGTATCCTGAGCGACTAAATTTATAGAATGTGCAAAACACGCAATATGTCTGTTAGACCCAAAGGTATCTCTAACTGCTTTTTTAATATTTGCTCCGTTATCAGTTACGACAAAAACTATTTTTTCATCATCGATATTCCAGTCTTCTAAAATCATTTTCATCCATCTTCCTATAACTTCAGAAGTATGTCGCTCTGTCATTTCCTTAACACCAATCGTGGTAGCTTGCAATTCTCCTTCAAATGCATAATGGATAGTTATCCCTAAATAGCTGATAGTATTTAGTACATCGGTCCAAATATCCGCCGTTACCGAGAAATAATCAATTTTTTCCAATTTTTGTTTTTCACATCCCTTTAGGTATTCATATTTTTCTTCCATTTTTTTTGTAATTGATTTTCTTCCAGGTACAGAGTAAAGAGGCGCAATAGTCTTCATCAGATTCCTGAATCCTTCATTATCTACCGTCTAAAAAGGCATATTATCTTTGGCTATCATAAAAAGGATAGTGATTTCTCCTGCCTTTATACCTCCCTCTAAAAAGAAAAATTATTATTTATTATATTATATATATATATATTTTATATATACTTTATGTATATTTGTATTATATTTACACACTATTTCATATATGTTTATATTTATTATAATTATTATTATATATATATGTATTTTATTCATTTATATTTATATTATATTTTAATTCTTCTTCTCTCTTTTAAATATTAATTTTTATGCACAAATTCAAGAGTTTCCATTTTCTTCAGGGTCCTAAAGACCTATTTCAAAATTAAACTTTTTATTTTACTGAAAAAAAATCTAACTAAATATTTGATTTATAAAATCTTAAGATTGACTTTGTTCGTTAGAGTTTAGAGTCTGTATTTAACACCGATGGAAGGGAATGAATGTGATGTCTTTCTCTGCAATCCGTTATTTATATTATACCTTCAAATGATTTTATTCGCTTAAAAGCGTTGCCAATCCTTGGCTGAAGTACAGTTTTATCCGAATAACAAAATCTACTTTCTGACTCTGATAGACTAGGTGCTGGTGAGGAAATAGGAGTTGCTAATTCAGATTCAGATAGATCCATGTATGTAAATGTAGAAGTAGATGGCAATGTCATTGATAACAATTGTAATTGCTTCTGAAATAAACAACAAGAGTAAACAAATGATGTGATAAAATAATCAAGGAATGTATGTAAATATTGTAAGATATTGATTTACCGAATTATTTACTTGGTCCGAGTTAGGAGTTTCATTACTATTCTCACTTTTTTTTAAAGTTAGTTTCACTTCTTTATTTTCTGCATGATTTCGTTTTAAATGGTTACTTAAATTAGTTGTACCGCCACCTTTTCCGCCAGACTTCACTACTCTGTTACAAATTTTGCATGTAGCATTACCATTATCAGTAGATTTTATAAAAAATTTCCAAACAACGATTGCTTTATTTTAAGCACTGTAAAAACATTATTTTTATTTATTTATTTTTATTTATTTTAAAAATATTCTTGTAATAAAATGTAAATAATAAAAAACTAGGTTAAGTGAGGTTATATTGACATTTTGAAAAAGTATATATTTTAAGTTTCAAGCATTAACAAATATACCCACTTTTTGCATTATTTTTCAAACATCAAATCCATCACCAGTAACATTCAAATTATAACTTTTCGTATTTTGGAAAACACAAGAGACGTTGCAAAAATGCTGTGAAGGAAAAGGAAGGCATGCAATAGTAGCGTATTATAAAATGAAAAATACCAAAGTAAATGCAAAAGTAAGTTAAATACGAAAGTAAATGCAGATCAAACAAAACAATTTGTGCATAAATATTTATAATTTTGTACATACCAATTTCTGTATTAATAATATTTGATTAGTCTAATTAGTCTGATTAGAACGAAGCGAGATTATTAATCACACTAATTTCGACTCGTTCATCGACGTACACACGTACACTGATACGCAGTACCGGGCTACCGGCTACCGACTCTACCGAGCGGCGAGCCCGACTTCTTCTTTCTTCTTCTTTGGCCCAGCCTACAATAAAGTCGTAAGAGAAAGAGGTAAGAAATTAACCAATCATAGTTGAACTTCAAGAGAATAATCGACTGTGATTGGTCATTTTCTTATGACTTTACGACTCTATTGTGGGCATCTAGTACTACAACCGCAGGAGGATTCAGGACACGGAATTCGCGGAAACGCTTGCGCGTGGCAAGAAGCGCCGCGGTAGCCAATCAACTGCTATTTAATAAGAATCGGTTTCTTCGATTCCTAGAGTGAAGAATCGATTCTCAAGAAAATCTAGTAGTAAAGAATCGATTCAAAAAATCGATTTTTAGCAAAAAAATCGATTTTTTAATTAATCGAATCGGAATCGAACATTCCTAATTTAGAATGAGCGCCATGAAGTTCCCCGAGCCGCTCCTTAAACACTCCTGGCAGCTTCTTCTTTCAAAGGGAACTCGTATCTCGTAATCCTCATTCTGTGCCTGGTCGCCGTCGGCAGTCCTCTGTCTGTTCGTCGAGGGAGTGGGACCGTGCCCTCGCCGTCGAGGGAGTGGGACCGTGTCCCTCGCCGTCCGAGACTCTACTCATTCTTATTTGAGCGACTAAATGACGCGGCAGAGGGCCCTGGCCGCCTGTTCCCTAGTACGGAATGGCACCGGTAGCACCGACCATGTCTGGCCGGCCTGAGCTCTAGGTACGCCCAGTGGGGTCTTTTAGACCTGTTCGCCACAACACCATTTAGTCACCTCACGCATAGCGCGAGGGTCCAGGAGTACCACGTGGAGGTAGGTGTGTGACTTGGGACTCGATATCGGCTATGTATTCGCCATCGAGATCCCCACTGTGACTCTCTTGCGGCGTATTGCTTTCACTCGCGGGGCAGGCACGATGTACGGCCAAATCCCACGCGGCGTGTTGGTTACGCGCGGCGCGTTGGTTACGCGCGACGTGTTGCTTTCGTATTTGCTACTGAGATGGCGAGGCCGCTTTGATCGTTAAAAAGGCCTTAAATGGCCTTGCCCCCGGGGCATAAGGCCCATGGAGGCATAATATTTGTATATGCTACAAAGGATGGCGAGGCTGCTCTGATCCTTAAATGGCCTTGCCCCCGGGGCACGCGGCCTACGGAGGCATAGTATACTTGTATTTGCTACATTAGAGCCCCAAAAATGGGCTGGGCCCGGCTGTTGAAGGCCTCAGCGCTACGCGCACTCCGCCGCAGAAGGGGATCCGCAGCTAAGCGCGCTCACGCTCTTAAACCACCTCCCGCACGCGGGAACCGTCGAGTCGGCACCTTCAGCCAGCAGCGTTCCCCTCGCGTCGTTAAACACAACACGCCGCCGGCTTCCAAGCCAAACTTGGCCCTCTAGGAGGGCCAATCTCAGACAGTCCCAAACGTGCGCGCCTGGAGGCGGCCCGTTTTCTTCGGACGCCCCGGATTCAGTCGGGCGAGCAAGGCGAGCTCAGCACCAGACCATTCCAGGGCTCCTGCATCCTAACGTGTATTCAAAGCAACCTCACCTTGGTCTGACACCTCTTGCTCTTTTGATTTTCTTTATTACATTTTTAGTGACGTATGTTTAAAGCGGCCTTGCCATTCTGCAACACATCGTGTTATTTATGCTGCTTTATAGGCCAATTGTACCAACTTACAACACGTCACTAATCAGATGACGAGGCATTTGGGGCTAGACCTGCGCCTGTTAAAGTTAGAACAGGCGGACTTCCCAGGAGTAAGACCCCTAGTGGCCATGTCTTAGGCTATGAGCTTAGTGGTAGTACCACTGCGTCTATTTTGATTCCCACCGGGCTGGAGTGGGTCGTCGGATTGTTTATCGGCGCGAGGCGCCTCACCTATCTATGAAATCATTGATGATTTCGATGGGCGATCAGGGACATTGTAAGCCAATCGGCTTTTTTGATCGCTAGGCGTCTCAGCGCGGCCATCGTCACGACAGGCAGGGCTCCTCTGGAACCTATCACTACAGGCACAACTTCGGCAGCGGGCACTTTAAGGTCTTGCTTCAGCTTGTTCTTCACGCCCTCGTATTTGGTGATTTTTTCACTTGCTGCCTGATCCAAGTAATACGCTTTTTCGTAGCGGATGGTGACGTCGAGGACAATCACCCGACTCTCATTCAATATGACGAGGTCGGGCTTGAACCTCTCGGCCTCCACCGCTATCGTTGGCTCAACCATGACTTGGTTTTCAACGCTCATTCGGTCTTTAATGAGGTTGACTACTTCGTTGTGCCTTTTGATGCGTTTTGCTTTGGTCGTTTGGCACTGGCCCAGGATATGCCCCAGTGTCTTCTTTGCCTCTCCACAGCCGCGGTACGTGGCATCCATGTCCCTGTACGCCCTCTTGAGGGTCGCACGCGTAGGAAACGTGTTCGTGCGTAGTTTAATCGCGTCTATTAAGCGCGATGAGCGTAATAACCCTCTTCTGACGAGCCATGCGTTACTAAGCGATTCATGGGCGAAGTCCTCTACCTCTTGGCCTTGGAGGAGCTGCTTCGACCACTCCAGTCGATAGCCCCTTTTAATCTCCCGCTTCTTGGTGTTAAGTTGTTCGATACTAGCGGGCCACTGCAAGCGAAGTGCGGCGGCATAAGCCTCGCATTGCCTTTGAAATCTCTTGTTGGCCACGACATTGCGGACCATGTCGTCGGCGGAGGACTCCGCCCTGACCGTGTTCCTCAATGCGGCGAGCATCACCATCGGATAAATTCCCACCAGGCCCAATCCTCCCTCCCTTACAGGAGTGTAGAGGAAGGCACTGCTCGTGGTTTCGTGTAAGTGCAGTATAGCCTTTACGCCACTTCTTATTATGGCGTCGATATTTTTCAGCAGACCCCTAGAGGGTGGCTGCATAATCAAGCCGTAGGTGAATCTTGGTAGCAGATAGGTACGCAACAATATCACCTTCTGCATGGGTTTGCAGTGAAGGGCCCTTACTCGATTTATAATATCTTGAAACTGCTCGAGCTCCGTGTCCATTATCAGGCCCTTCCAGGGTGTGGCTGCTACACCCAGATACTTAAAGGCTCTATCAGACTCGCCGTACGACACTGGTATTCCTCTAATGGTGATCTCCGGGTCTTTTAAGTACCATGTTTTTCCCTTACATATAGATACATATTGAAAGACGGTGCTCTTCTCAATCGAGAGCGACATGCCTTTACTCTCTAAGTCGGAGACAACCCAACTGGCCTGCTTAGCGGCCGTGTTTGCATCTTTAGCCAAAAGGATAATCGTCTGCAAAGGCCATAGCTGCAAGTTTGCAGCCCTCGACTTCGACTCCTTGAGTCACTTTGCACCCTTTCAATGATGGGCTCAATCACGAAGTTGAAGAGGGTAAGCGATAGGGGGTTTCTCTGCTTGACGCCCCTTTCTAATTCTATGCACAAATCGCCATCCTCAGTCCTGACCGTCGTCCTACACCCACAGTAGGTATCGACTATGTAGTCGGCTACCGACGCCGGAAAATCCTTCCGTTGTAGGGCAAGTCTAATCGCATCGTGCGGGACCGTGTCAAAAGCTTTTGAGACATCGAGTATCGAAAATATGCCTCCTTTAGATTTAGCTTCGACAATGGCTGCGCTAAGCAACCTCGTGTTGGCAAAACATCCATTTTCGTGGGTGAAGCCTTTTTGCCTCACCGTCTGTGACGTGGCGTCGCGTATACGACGATCCAGCAGAGAGGAATAAATCCTACTCAGTATAGAAGAGGTCGTAATTGGTCTCCAGTTCTTAACCTCTGCCGGGTCTTTCCCGGCTTTGGGGATCAGCGTGGTTCTATTCTGCTTCCAGGCGTTAGGGTATGCCATATTTGACATTAGCAGATTGAAGAACTTTGCTAGAGCGATGCTGGCACCGCATCCTTTTATGTTCTTTTTGGTGAGACCGTCTATTCCGGCCGCTGATGCATTGGCCATCCTTCTGATCTTGGTCTCAACCTTGGCCGGTCTTATAGGCCGAAAAATGACCTTCATAGCAATCACTGACTCGACTAGGTTCGGAGCAGGTTGCTTGGGTCCAGGGATACCTTACAGGTTAATATAGAGATCTCTAGTCTTTCTTAGGCCGGGTGTCCGGCGGACTTGTACAGTGACAAGTCGTTGGCTACGACTGCGTCCGCCAATTTCTTGGGGCACTTGTTCATAATCTCCTGACACTTAGCAAAGGCCCTTACCTTCGCCTCGTGGCTCTATTGGGCGATCCATTGCTGCGTCCTTTCTTGTTTTTTCCGGACGGCTTGTGACTTGTCAGCAGGCTTGCCTGCAGAGAGATTATTCTCCAGATCGCCATACAGCGAGTCGATGTCGGTGCTGGCTATACTTTTGCCCGTCCATTTCGCCAGCTTAACAATCATGCCTTCCCATCTGCCTGGAGCCTCATAGGGCTCCCTGATTTCAGCCGCGATCGCACTGCGCCAGGCTTCACCATCGAGAGCTGCCTCACTGTTTCGAGGGGCATCACATTGCTGGACACCACTTGTGACCGGGGCCTTTCTCGCAGCGGAGGTGGGAATCACCTCCACTTCTCCCACGCTGCAGGGCCGGCCCACTCCGGGACCCCGGTAGGGACCAGGGAGCCGTCTTTGGCATGGTTCCCCATCTGCCAAGGCTTCCACCTGTATGGCAGGGTCCACTTCGTTCTGCGGGGAGCTCGGCAGGGACTTAAAGCGGCGCCTCGCGTCGCTTATCTGCTTGTTAGACTTGCCGGGAAAGAACTCCATGAGTTTCACATTAATGTTCCTCTCATGTTACCACTCCTTACTGAGTCTCTCGAGCTCGTTTAATTCCTCCGTGGTCCAGATGGTCAACGGTTTGCCAGTTTTACCGGCAGGTTTCTCCGCTTCGTGCGCTCTCTTGGCATTGCGAACATCCGGATGGATGTGTCACTCGTGCTGGGCAAGGCCGATTTTCGATCTAAATGCCATCGGGCACTTCCCGCACTTGAAGGCTGCCAGTGGGCTGTCCGACGTACCCCTACATTTGGGGTAGTGGCAGCGCCACGCGTGCACTTTAGGAAAAGACTTTTTGCACTGGGCGCATATCCAATTGACTCACACTTCAGGGTGCTTGTCGATAATATGATCGCTTAGCTGCTTGGCGCCAATACAGCTGGTGTCAACACTCAGCTCCAGGCATTTGGGACAGTCCAAGACTGCATCGGTACTTCCTTGGATGTTATAGGAGTGTGAGTTCTCTAAAATGGGCACAGGGCCCCATTGCCCGTACGACGACACTCCTGGGGCGCGAGCACCGCTTGCGTCTCCTCGCCAGTTTGCCACACAGGCGGCGTGCGCCCCGCCGGAGACGGCTTCGGGGTCGCCCGCTTCCGAGGCTTCAACATTTCCGACTTCCATATTTGCTCCAGAATCAACCACGCCGCACGGAGCCATGACGGCAGGCAGTTAGGCATTTTAGGCTGCACTTCACCCCGACGTTCTTAGTCGGCAGTCCCATCGGGAACTTTGAACCTAGAAGGTGGGCGGAGGAAACGAGCTCGGGAGATCACCCCTATCGAGAGGGGTTTGTGGTTCCACCCATTCACAGAGACAAGCTCTGTTTTCCCGCAAGCGACATCGCTAGCATGGTTCCAAGCTTTGCTCGTCCCTCTACACCCTATCCGGGCCGCCACAGCCATGCCAGATCCCAAACGAGGTTTATGGCACACTCAAAGAGGCCGGCTTGTGGCTTGGGACCCCATGGGCTCGAACTCGAGTCAGGGATCCTGATGCACTCTCTTACACGACCGCAGCTACCGGCGACGTGTTGCTTCCGCCAGCGGGGTCGGCATGCAGTTAGCAACCAAGTCCCACGCTACAGGCGGCGTGTTGCTTCCGCCAGCAGGGTCGGCACGCGGCCAGCGACCAAGTCCCACGCGGCGTGTTGCTCCCGCCAGCGGGGCAGGCGCGCAGCCAGCAACCAACTCCCACGCGGCGTGTTGCCTAGAGCTTCAAAAGCCCTTAAATAGATTTGCCCCCGGGGCACGAGGCCCGCGGAGGCGTAAGACAAGCAGAAGCAAGGAAGATAACTCCCGAAAAAGGATCGTGGTTTCACTTATTCACATGGGCAAGCCTTGTTCTCCCCAAGAGAGTGCGTTCGCTGCAACATCGTTTAGCCGTCTGCGAAGCAGACGTTACCAGGAGTATCACGAGGAGGTAGATGTGCAACTTGGCTTGGAAAGGCTCAAGGACCTAACGAGAGGTCTGTATTCGCATCCGCACCCGACTATGCTATTTTCTGCGCAACTGGGCAGTCGCGGACTTTCCACTCTTTTGTCCGGCGTGGTCACCAGAAACAACAGAGACCCGGCTAGCGGGGCGCCGGCAAGTTTGGCTGTTGGCGCTCCTTGTTTGCACGGGCTCTCAACAGTAAGAATATATATATCTCACAGTCCTTTATCTTGCTCTTTGTACTATCTGGACTTCCGATCCGACCGTGCCGCAGCACGGCGAAACCAGTCTGACTGACTCCACCAGGGAACTCTTGCCGTGGGCAGAAAAAATTAGTGATAACAGTCCTCAGACTTTGAGGAAGCGGGGATTGGCCAAACGTTGCCTCGCGGCACCGTTTGTTTCCAGGGAAAACCACGTGGAGGTTCCCGCCCAGAGCAGCACTCGGTCCGTGTCGAGTGTGCCCTCGCTCTGCCGCCGTGGCCCGTTAATGCAAGTACAGGCCTTACGACTCGCACTCCCAG